GCTGGTTAAAAACACAATGATTGACATGTGAACATTATGCATTTGACATTACCATTTTCCAAAGCGAGTTTGACGGACTATATGAGATTTGTTATGACCTTCATTCTACTTTCGTCTGACCATGTGTTATCCGCTGGAGGCAGTACAGTCACCATGTATGGCATGAGGAAGTGAGGGGATTATATGTGGGTCCTTATCTGTACCAAAACAGTCTACATGGGGTTCCTCACTAACACTCCTTTATCTTGTCTGGACGCCACCTTATCTTATCTATTCTGATAGGACCGATACTGATGGTGGTGGCTGGCATTTTTATTGGAATACAGAATGCATATTTGGCTGGGAGAGGTATAGAGGCTCTGTTCAAACTGCAGACTTTCTGACTGAAAGAGAAAGCTGTAGAGAGAGGGTGGAGGCGGGGGGCATCTGACATTCCAGTTAAATGCACAGGGATGAAACCAGGTGTGAAACCACCTCCTGTTTTGACTTGACTCCACAAGGTAGAAGACCATCTGGCAAAGTGTCAGACAGCTAAACACTGTCCGATTGCTGAAGCTCTTCCACCTCTGCTGTTTGTTTCTGAAAAGTTGCTCCGCAATTGAAGCAATTTAATATGTCCCAAGAAAAACATTTTACCAACCAATTTACCCCTAAACGATCAATCTAGCTAGTCTGTAAGCATGCAACATGGAGAAGGTTTATAACTATCATTTGAAACAGAAATGACATGTTATACGAGATGGATGCATCTAAAACCTGCTCAGCAATACTTGCATTGACGCCTAATAATCAGCCTGTATTACTACGGTGCTACGCCTAAAACAAACTCATATTGGGAGTTCTGATGCCCAGGACAGGCCGATCGATCGATCGATCGTCGTGACGCAGGGGGTAGAGCGAGTGCGCTGCGAACCGCAAGGTTGGTGTTTCAAGTCCCAGCTGTCCCATGTTTCAAGTCGAAGTGTCCCTGAGCAAGACACCTAACCCCTAATTGCTCCCCAGGCAAAAATGTGAAAAAAAGCCATGATTTTAAAGTGTAATGTAAGTCGCTTTGGATAAAAGCGTCAGCTAAATGACATCTAAAAGTAACAAACATGCTGTTCCATAATTATTGCTTCGATATAAACACAGGGATTGAAGGAAAGCAAGCCTCACGTTATTTTATCAGCACACTAGAAGGGGTCCTGGTGCCTGTGGGGCTCCTTTAAAGGTGATATGTGATAACAATAATGCATACAAATAAGTTTCCTTTTCAGCAGAGTAAACTTCCCCATGAAAATTGTGTATCTGCACTATTTATGCACATGACTAAATAAGCATTAGTACGAAAACGTACATTGGGTCCTCTGCATAAGGAGGATTTTCGGGTATGTTTGTTTCGGGTATGTTTGGACATTTTCAGGGACTTGTCTCTGTCGAAAGCGCCCGGTCCAGCCTGTAATGAGAAATCCACCCATGCGTTTAATCTCTTGCGTCGTTCTGATATTATTCACAACGCACATCCGTGTGCGGATTCATGCGTGCATACAAATATTGAAAACACGGCCATAATGACTTGCATTTCCCAAGATGAGCACATCACCAGATGGCTGATTATGGGTGAACAGTCAGCCAGTTTGAAACTGACAGACAGCAAAGAGAGGGCAAAGGCACTGGACACCGAGGTCTGAGGGAGATAGATGTCAGGCAGACGAGGCCCTCGGTCCTCTGTTCTCATGCTGTTACCAACTGGGCATGTCCTCTGCAAAGAAAAAAAGAGCTGCAGCAGCCTCGTTTGATAATGCTGGAATGTCTCAGCCTGTGTGTCTGTGTCTTGTATGTTGTGGGAGTGTGGCCGTGCTTTATCTATGGGAGCAATGTAAACGTCAACACACCGAAAGGACACACACGGTCAGGATAAAGGATGTCGAAACAGCACACAATTGAAAGCCCAGACACAGAATAACTTCTGCAGGAGGGGTGCATTATTTACGAGGCATCACTTACATGACTGGAACACAAGCCCAAAGGTTGGATTAGAGGGTGAGGGTGGGAGGGGGGGGGGGTTCTTTTGATTACGCACTTCACTGTGATTCTGCAGTGATCCACTGGGGTGCGGCAATGCACAATCTGCTTTTGCATACAATTTGGCTGCTAATGTTGCATCTCGGGTTACATGTCTTTCTTTCCAACGACACACGCCTGATTACAGTCAAATCTTTCCAGCTGCGGCGGGCTGCTCTGTGTGAGCCATCATCATGAGTATATCTTCATCTTCATCGATGCAGCGATCCTGCGTGTTTATTCTCTGAGGCCTTTTGTGTTGAAATATTTGTGGGATAGTTCCTGTGCTCTGGCAAGTTTCACATTAGGTGGGCTTCCACAATAATCAGGTTTTGAGTCCTTGGTGAGGGACAACAGATATTTTGTAACAGGGCTAGTTTGTACGTATCAAAGACATTTTCCTAATAAAGAAAATGACGATACTAATAAATGTCCCTGACAATTTTTTAAAGGTTTGTACGCTGTGAAAGAAAATAAGCTTAATAAACAACTTTCACACTTGGGTACTGAATAAATGAACTGTGGGATTTTAATAAACAACAATACCAATCACACTTGTACAGCTGTAAAGTCTCTCAAAGTTTAGATGATATAGCTTAACCCAACAATACTTACCATGCAGCTTCTAGATCATTTTACAGCTGCAATAAACCATCCTTTTTGGGCTATTTTTTTGCACACTGGGATTGGGTGCACCACATAATGCAAGTTGATGTTCTGGGTTTTGCAAACAACTGCCATATGTGCCTACTGTGGAGCGGACATGTGAAGGAATACATGATCATTTTGAGTATTGTTTCTGATCCCTTGATAGATATACGGTCAACACAATTTCTCCTTATTCAGTTTTTTGGTTTCCAACATCTCCAGAAGGAAACGTTAGCTTCTTTAACTGCTAACGGCCACCTGATAGGAGCATGCTAATGAATGCCGCTATTCACCAGCTACCTGCTAGCTAGCGCTATCTGTCTGCTTTTTGGTTTTTACCACGCAGTGTACGTTTAAACAAACTTTTTTTGGGCCAAAGGAGTGCAGCTGCTGGGAAAAGGCCAAATAAAAGAGACTTATTCTTATCAATTCAAGATGAGCTAAAAGTTGCTAAAATACTAACTTGTATTGCTAGCTTAAAAGCTTTAAGAACTTAGTCAAATTAATGCACTTTATCTTTAATTCCAATACCACTGAAGTAACAGTTTTGGTTTAACACATCAAAAACACAAACAAAGCTGGTATGGTCCATCAATGACATTAGCGATTCCTGTTTGACACCAACATTCAGCTAGATTGAGAAAACGTGCATAACAACACGCAGTGGAAATGTTTGGCTGTAGCCACTCTTGTTCCAACCAGTCGTTAGTGCTATAATGTAAAGCTCATTTATATGTAAAAGCCAATTAAAATATTTTTTAAACCCACAAAGTCAGCCAGTCAGTTCCCGTTCAGCAGAGCAGCTCGTACAACTAGACAGTATTAAGACGATGTCATTTTGGGATTTGTGAGAATATTTCTCGAGACTTAATTGGAAGGTATCTGCCTTGAGGAACGGTGCGTGACGTGTGTGTTCTCCTGTGATAGAAGCAACACATGTTATTCACTGATACATTCAAATAAAAGCAGTGACAGACATAATTTGTCATTGTCTATTTGGGTAGCTGTCAGAGCTCAGGCCCACTTGAACAAATTTGCGTCCAAATAGTCTCTAGCCTCTGTGCATAACCAAGCCTGTCATTTTCCCAGAAATAGAAGGGTAGTTAAAATTACAGCTTTTGAGGAGTGGAAATTTACGCACTGTCCGTTTTTAAATAAGAGCTCGAACAAAATAGCCACATGGTAACATTTACAGCAGAACAGCAGAGGTTTAAGAAACACAGGGAATCTTTAATGACATACAACATAGAGTGAGTACAGCTGTAGGTTTCAGTTTCACATGGATTTGTAGTTACTGTCCAAAACCCCAAAGTTAATACCTAAAGTCAGAAATCCAGATTAGATAAATGTTTGAAGCGTTACATAGAGTGTATATCTAGTTTATCTTCACTAGTGCTATAACTCAAACAATAGTGATATTAAAGATCAAAAAAGGTCAAAATAATGCCGTTCAAAGAACTTAAATGGACCAAGTGAAATTTTTCATAACATGGAGTCTGGGAGTCAGCAACATTAACATATCATTGCCATATATGTTACCTTTAAAGGTTGTTATGGCAGAAAGCTGTAGCCTACTTTCTGCTGGAGGTTTTAGTGAGTCAGCCGAAAGAGTAAAAAAAGCTGAATCATTGACTGGCGACCAATCCAGGGTGAACCCGGTCTCTCTCCCGATGTTGGCTGGGATCGACTCCAGCCCCCTCGTGACCCCGTTGGCAGGGTGAGCGGCTTGGAAGATGGATGGAGGGACACTGCACAGATGGGTCTTAATTCACTTCTTTTTTTTTTAAACAACCATGGAAGTAAAATCTTAACTTAGAGACATGTCTTGAATAAAAAAAACAACAACTTAAAAGCCAACGACATTTTGAGAGTTTAAAGCGGACTGTCTGGTGAACTGCATTTAATAAACATGTATTACATCGGCTCAGGCAATTATAAGACTCTATTCTATTCTAGATCTTTCTTGATGAGGCTGATGAGGACCGGAGGTAAAGACACCGTCTGTCCGACCGGGGGCGGCCTTGGACAGCCACTTTTCTGCAGGCATCGAAGCGTGGCCCTGCGCACCCCCCCCCCCCCTCCCTCTCTCTCCTCCCCCCCCATCACCCACCCTCACTTGTGGGATCAGCAATTCGTATCGCATGCAAAGTCGGGGAGCGTCACTGTGAATGTGTGTGTATGTGTGTGTGTGTGAGAGAGAGAGAGAGAGAGAGAGAGAGAGAGAGAGAGAGAGAGAGAGAGAGAGAGAGAGAGAGAGAGAGAGAGGAAAAGACAGGGGGCAGAAGCGCGGTTACATTCCTGGAGAGACAGATCCCTGCCCCTTCCTCCCCCTTCCTCCTCCTTCCTCCTTCTCCCTCTCTTGCCTCCAGGTCTCCCAGCCGGCGGCGGCAGAGAGGGATTTTTCGACCCGTGTTGCAGATGCGGGGAGCTGGGCTGCAGAGTGCAAAGACACACCGGTAGTCCTCGCGGGAAGTTGCGGGAAAGGAGCTAAATTAAAGAAGAACCAAACGCAATTGGCAAAAAGAGTTGTGGGTTTGTTGTCGAGCGGTGAAATCTAGATTTGAATAAAGTTAACTTTGTGTCGTGTCGCCCGCGGTGGACATGGGCTCCCGGCGGACACTCGGGGCCGGCCGGACGGCGCTGCTCCTGGCGGGGCTGCTCGTGGCTCTGTGGCACCGCTGCTCCGCGGGTTGCCCGGAGAGAGACCTGGAGAACAGGGAAGAGGAGGCCAACATAGTTTTGACCGGCACCGTGGACGAAATAATCAACCTGGACCCGGTGCACAATACGTACTCTTGCAAGGTACGTGAATTTCGTGTGGTTTGTGTGGAAGCCGCCGCGTGCTTCCTTCAGGGGGAAATGCACCTGCCTCGTGCGATGGAAGCGGGCTATTAGAAGTCACGTATTGGATCGCAATGGACTCCACGCTGGTGTTAGCTGATTCTAGTACAATTCTAACAGGTAAAAAAAAAACAGTTTACAAACTCATTCATCGAGAAGCCTTTGGCATTAACACTGACAGCGAATTTGCTTCGGAAACATATAAATGTGTTTAATTCGCCCTTACCAATTACACAGCAAGGGAGGCCCAAGCGACCTTGTAATCAGCCCGAGCGTGCCGCCCTACTGAGGTTAGACTGGCCCCTCAACTCCTGTTCCCCCTGGACACATACGTGATGTGATCTGAATCATTCATGTTGGGGTGCTGCTGACATGTGGCACACATCTGGCCGTAACAGTGGTTTTCATTGAGAAATATCATTTAAAAAAAACATAATAATGAGATAACTGAAGTACCACAGAGATACTGTAAGAGACGAGAACATGGACTTCTTCTGGCACTTGTCACAGCAGGGTGCAGTTATTATACTGTCATTAGTCACTCCAGTGTGAAACCAGTGTGTGATGGACCTGCTACTGTAACATTTCCACTCTCTCTTTGGTGTCACAAGAACATTATCACCAGTGGACCACGTAAAGGCGCAGGGTTAACCCCCCCCTCCTCCAAACAAGACGCACGTATCCATGCCGCTTGGAAACTAACATCTGCATCACCATGGACTCGTGGTACCCTGCTCTATAATCTGTCAAAATAAACAAGTGGTGCAGGGCCGCTCTGCCCCTCAGCACCCACATGCTTCCCGTCTCCCGATGAGTCGGCGGAGTAGATTAGAGGCCCCGTCGCGCTCCCGTGTGTACACACAAACCGCGGCTGAGCGGCGAAACGGGACGAAGCGGCTGACCTGCGGCGCAAAGAGGGGGGGGGGGTGACTGCGCACCGGGCAGATTTGCTGCACTTCCTGTGACGCAGGAAGCGTGCAGCGTTTTAGTTGCATGATGATTACTTCGGTAGCGGCGGCCATTGTTGTGCGATAAACTGTCATGGGATGTTTGGGTTGCACAGGTGTAATTAACATTCTTGATTTCTTAGCAATTAAATTAACAGGAGTAACTGTTAATTAACAAATTCCGAGGAGAGCAACCTTGATTCAGGTAGACAGCATCTCTCTGCATAAAACCGCGTGGCTAAAGAGGATGCTGTGTTGTGTTTCTTTTGTCGTTCGCCCATAGGTCAGGGTGTGGCGCTACTTGAAAGGGAAGTCCAACGTCAACCAGGAAATTCTCCTGGACGGCGGCAACAAGCTGATGATCGGCGGGTTCGGCAACCCCGGGATCTGCGACAACCAGGTGGCCACGGGCGACACGCGCATATTCTTCCTCAACCCTGCTCTGGAGGCCATGGGGCCGGAACACAAGAACGAACTCATGCTCAACTCGAGTCTGATGAGGATTACCCTGCGCAACCTGGAGGACGTAGAGCACTGCGTGGAAGGTAAGCAATGGAACAGCGCCTGCGTCTTTTACGTTGCCGGGAGGGATGATAAGAATGAGAGGCAGCAGCGAGCATTCCCGCTGGCTGCTGAAATGACGCAGCCTCGGGCTCATGGCGTCAACGTTTCCCTGAAGTCACTGGAACGAGGCCAACTGAGTCATTTTAGGAGCTTTGTTGCCATGGTGAAGCTTCAACCTTTTTCCAGTGGAGCCTTGAGGCGGATGTGTGTGATTAACACCTTGAGGACCCCGATTGAGTGGTTCGGGGATGATTCTCGACCTTTGCAACCCGTAGCTGGCTGTGGTGGTTTTATGAGGTTAAACACTTGCATACACATAACACAAAACGTTGGAGCTGTACGTGGCAAAGCAGGTTTACACAAATCTTTTATTTAAACAACTCACCCACCGAATCAACTTCACTGTAAATGACGGTTTCACTACCCAAAGACTAGGTAATAAATCAACAGATCTAATAAGATTTCAATAATCATTTTGAAAATGCTGTTGTTCACTTGATTGTAATTATTACCAGAAGTTTTGCATGAAAAGAGTTTACTTTACATTCTTATTCCTCCTGAGTCCTTTTTTTTGGTCGAGAAGCAATTTGTTAGGCTTCTACGAGAAGAATCGCACAGCCATGACTAATAAATCTCCGCCGTCGGCTGTGACTGCAAGGCTGTAGCAGCCTCTGCCCCCCATTGCCAGCGAGCAGGGAGCTCACTGCTGTTTAACTTTTGCTAGGGCTCGACATCGTTGGCAGTCATTGGAAGTTTGAATCCCACACGTAGGCCGGCCCGGGAGCAGCAGGGTGGAAACGATCTGGAGCAGGAATCACCTTGTCCAAGGCTTTCTGGGGCGATCACTGTTTCAGAGTTGTAGGGTCGATATTCTGGGTACTTTCCTCTGAACAGTTCTGGGTGGCAGGATGTTCCAATGGATGCAGCTTGTTTGCAGTGTTAAGTTGCATTTGGCAGACACATAAAACCTTCTTCTGTTTGTCTGTCCAGGCACGAAACACTGCACTGCTAACCTTTTTATTCACCCCCCATTTCTTATTTTCGGACTCCTCTTGTGGAAAGGGGAGTTTCTTGGCTCTGGAAAAACTGTCTAGAATGTGCACTTTCTGTTTTGTGGCTCTGTACTTGAAGAGCGTTTACTTCTCACAACCGGATTTTCTCCAATCGCCATACGGTTGAAACAAATAGCAGCAAGAAAACACTTAAGAAATTATCCTTAAAGACATCTGAAACGACATTTCCCTGCAGAAGCTCTGGATATGTTTATGCAAAGAAACACCCAAGGACAATTTGTTAGGTTCAGTCCTAACTCAGAGTATTTGTTTTATTTGGGGGGGGGTTTGGCCCTGGTAATTAACTTGCATGCCTCCATCCGGTAGAGAATGAGCTCTAAGGCTTGTTCCAGGGCGGAGTTTTAATTAAGAGAGTCAAGTCACATCCCATCTTTGGTGTGCAACCACTACCCCCGAAAAAAACTGTGGGACGTCAGTGCAGCCGGGACAAGACTCTACCTGCCGCGCTGCTCATTGTACCCTCCTCTGCTCTCGCCTCATTCTTGACATTTTCGATAGCTGGGATAGACTCAGGAATGCCTGGCAGAGAGCTCGGTGGGGAGGCACATTGTCTGAGGGGGAAGAAAAAAGGCTTTGTGTGAGCGCTTTTTGCCACTTTTGAGACACGAAAGAACACAAGACGAGTGATGTGGAACAAGCGTATTTATTTTCTTTTGTTTAAGAGAGAACATGGCGCGCGAGGGATCTGGCGTTGGCGTTGGCGCACTCGTTTTGGATTTAGGACCACTGGCACTTGAAGGGAGATGCCTTCAGGCGCTATGTTTCACGCTCTATTCTGCTCCAGTGCTCTTCGCACCGGGCGGCGGGGCCTTCGGGCTCCCTCCTCCACGTGTGCGAACACTCGGCGACGGGCTTTCATCTGCCACAAAGCAACCCCCAATCAACACCCCCACCCACCCCACCTACACCGCACCACCACCCCCTACTCCCAAGGAAATTCTCAGTAAATGTTTGGGGTGCTGACCGGCTCTTAGTGTGTGCTTTATTTGCGGTGCGAATGGCCCCATTTCCTTATCTTTACCTACCGACAAGCGTATACCGCCATTTGTGTGGTTGCACAAAAGCGTAACTCTACAATGCAGCGCTCCACATCTGCCTCAATGGATTTGCACCTCGTCAGGGCTGATAAGCACATTTCTTTTGGCACAGACTCTCTTCTATTGTTCGGGTCCTCCAGCTGCCAGTTGGTGTGTCAGAATGAAACACAGACGTTTGTACTGTGTTTGGGAACGAATTTAAAGTCAGGTTTTTTTTTTTAAGTAGAAAGTTGGGGGGGATTCAAGACACCACGTCCTCCAAAACTTTGTAGAGGAAAGAAGATGAAGAGCGCCTTCTGTGTTTATTGTCATTTCCATTTCTCCCAATGCGGTGTTGATGGCACCAAAGAGAGGAGGCGGAGCTGTTTGGGCTTCGGGAGGGAGGAAGTCCTCCTGATGGAGAAGTGTTGAGCGTGAGGAGATCTTATCCGTCCCGGTGTGTTTATCAGCTGCTTTTGTTTCAGTCCTCGGTGACTTCATGCCAAAGTCTTTCCCCCAAGGCTCGGCAAAACCGCGGCAACAAAGGGCCGTTTCTTCCGTCTGTCTGCATTTTTTTTCGCTTCTCTTTTTTATCTGCCTCTTATTTTTTAATATTAGAAGTCAGTGTATTGTCTTGCAACAGCTGTATCAAAGAGCTTCTCTTTGCCTCTTTTGTGCTGCATCTGTTTAAATACACAGGGCTGATGCAGCCAGTGTACTCCGCCAGTTGGACAATCCGAATGTCCTTGTGGGATGTTAATGAGCAGCTTTTGGCTGCTCCACACGCCACTGAGTCTTTATGATCTGTGCGTACAGCAGTCCAGAGGCTCACTGGTAATGGGACTAGCCAGGCTTGCTGAGGACATGATGGGGGTCCTGATGTGCCAGCAGGTGGTCTTGCCTAATGATGGGCGAGCAGACAGTCCTGGGGAATGCTCCTCGGGGTGGGTGGGATGTGGGATGACTGTTTGAGGCCCCCCCTCTCAAACGTCCCACCTTTCCTCCACAGCTCCTTCAGTGAATTGAGCCTCAGCCTTTTCTCCCCCCAGTGTTTGTTCAAGGAGGAGGCCCGGAATCGGCTGGAATTCCTTACCTGCCCGAGCTCCTACCTGGCTGCCTCCTCCCTCCTCTGCTTCTCGATGTGTGAGGAGATACTGGCAGAACGATAAGGGCCAAATGGCGAGCGTTGTTTTTAAGCCACGCTACCGGCTTTTTCATAAGGCGAATGCCAATCATCCACAGGGCGGTCGCCTCCCCTGTTTTCGACAACGATTGAAAACAGGGGAGGCGACAGGTCACTTCACAGCTGTTAATCAGTTATTCAAAGTCCTCGAGGACACTTGGGCAATGGTGAGAGTACGTTGACAGAACAGTCCAGCCCAGGATTAAGCCCCGGTTTTGCCTTTCTGTTTTAGCAGCGGTCAGCTGAGAGCCTAATATGTGTTTTTACCTAAACAGTATCCCGTCTCTTCAAATGTGTGGCTATATCTGGATTATTCTGTCGTGTCGCCTCTGCTTGTTTTATTTCTGAAAGGAGAAATCATTTGATGAAGCCTAAGCAGTGTTTATTTCAGGCGCGGTGGCACCAGCCCCCCCCAGATATAAAACAGTTTGTTCCCTATAATTTAAAGATCAGGCTCCACCACCACCACCTGCTCATGTTTTACCCTCAGCAAGATGTTTTAAAGATAGAACACGACATGACAACCTAATATATAATTGACCTTTCCCAGTTATTAAGACATCGGGCACGTGGGTAATTCCATAAAACGGATGGGTATATGTTATTGTGGCTCCACATGGTGTCTGAGAACCCTTATGCAGACAGGTGACTGCTCTAAAGCACCGGGTTCTTTATCCAGTCCATGTTCACACAAGCAGCCTTTTGTCTTCAGTGAGGAGAAAGTCAAGAAGACTGACTTTGGGGATTGGATTATATTCTCAGGGCCCTTGAATGGATTAGGCTATTGTCTAAGAGTGGGAGTTCATGCGCTTGGTGTAGAGCCTTTCAACAAAGGTGTACCCTGAGTAAGTCTGTGTAACCTGAGGGGCTTATCTGAAAGCATTTCATCCATTGAAGTGAACATAATTGGACAAATAGACAAGCTTGATGGAAGGCTTTGATGGAATAACAGCAACAAAGACTTGAAAGGAGAAACAAGGCCAGCTGACCTGTTTGCCGGGGAGCCCCGGAGTCCCCGGAGTTATTGCAGATTTTAGATTTTAATTAAAAATGCAGGACCGGCGAGCCCGCTTGGCATAGCGATAAAGGATTCCCAAATGAGAAAGCCATGAAAGATAGAGAAGAGGAATAGAGCAAAGGAGGAACGGACCACTTACCCACAGTCTGCTCGCCTTGGCTGGAGTGCGTCCTTCTCAGGCTGATAGGAATCAGAGATGGTATCGATAGTGCGCAAAGATACCAACATGTAGTGACGTGCCTGTCACTTCAGTGGGATGATACCATGATCAAGGTGTACACGCAGACATACTGGGTGACATCTAGCCTGTCCAAATACACAGTCTAAATGTTTGTAGTGGTTTCTTTATTCATACTCAATGCGGGGATACGGTGTCCCCATATGGCTGGAAGTGGGTCGCTCTAACCAAATACTCACACAACAATGATGTCAAAGCTGACATCCTTGTCACGTTGTGAAGCCTCTGAGATTCTCAAGATGATATATAAAGTTATCCTGGAAGTCCCAGTTAAGCTGGAGGGGGAAAGTGGAACGGACCTGGGAGACCTTGTGTTCGCACTTGCATGTACGGTGACCCGGAAACCTTCCTCTTCTATCCCAGATGTGAAAAAGCAGCAGTCTTCATGACATCTAGGCTCTCTCAGGGGAACTGGATCTGTGACAAAACTCTTCCTTTAAGAGCACATTTCAC